CTTTATTAGTCTCTCTTAGAACACTGTACAAAGGAGTAATAAAAATATTCACACTTTATTTTAGAAAGTTCTCTACTTGAGACTCCTGTATCCACAGCAAAAAGAAGGGCTACTGGGAAAAAAAAAAACCCTAAAACTTTGTACAGAACATTCCTTTAAAAAAATCTCCCAATTAATTCAGCTCATTAAACTGATCCAGGGAGGATACAGATACACCAACACTCGCATGCTTAAAAGCTATTATAGGCAATGATAAAGCAACATAAGTTACAATGAGGGATATTAATGTGTTAACCCACTGCTGTCCCCTCCTCGAGGGCCAGTACCGAGCTTCTAAAAACAACCCAAAATTCAAAAATAAAAGGACTCGGGAATGAAGTAGCCCTAAATCTTGTTTATTTTAAAGGCTTTTTCCTGCGAAGGTTTGCACTGTTTGCCACCCTGGTAGCTCTGTTAAATGAATCCCAAGACAGGATCCCTAATTCAGGAGCATCAGGCTGGGAGGACCTGCTGGTTTTCCCACTGTCCTGGAGCAGGGACCGCTGTACCCTGTGGATACGTGCGTGGTGCTGACAGTGGCTTAGGAGGCTTTGCCCAGTGCAAGGCTGCTGCCAGTTCCTGAGAAGGGTCCCAGGCTTTCAAAAGCTTTTCTCTTTCATTGCAGAACCAAAAAGAAAAGCTGTTGAAGTACCTGCTCACCAGGAATTGTTCCTCCGTCACAGGGTGGAGCCCGCCTTGATCTCTCCAGGTAAGATTTGCCCTGCTTATGATACAGGACAAGTTTCATAGGAAAATCTATCAGATCAGAATCCCACTTACATGTGATCAGAATCCCATTTAAAATCAGCAACAGTCACTTATCTCCTCCACGCAGGTACCTGGGGAAAACTCCACTTTAAAAGGAGTTCTGCTCATGTTTGGGTTCTTCACCTAAAACGTGGCTTCATCCCTGATCTGTCACCTCTAAGGACATGTCTGACATCTCCTCAGCCTGCCCATGCTGTCCCTTCACTTCAGACTCTCTCAGGTACCCCTTACAATGGTGGTTTAATTACAATTAACTTATTGCTTTTCTATTTTTTATTAACCCTGACACCTACCCTTAAGCTGGGATCTTAAGGAAGATTCTGCCAGGTTTGTAATTGTTCTAATACTTATTAATCGTATGTAGACACTTAATATAACAAGAAATCTTTCTTAAACTCGCCTCTTTCCATATTCCTCCTGTTTCCACTTATGTTTCCCTTGATTGGACTAACTGAGTCCAAGTTAACTCAGTTATTCCGTGGAAAAATGATGCCTGTGTTGTAAAGAGTGTCACTGTCACATAACTCCTAGGTAGGCTGTTTTTAATCATTTGTGTGAAGGAGAGAAGTCAGAAAAGTTTACTTCTGCTGTTAGGCAAAGCCTTAATTATAAATTTTGGACTTCAGGCTTTAAAACCTGCTTGTTTGAGCAGTTTATAATCCAATTCTGGTTCGCAGTTATATTTAATTTAACAACACAGAGTCAGATGTCCTTAGTGTCAGTGACCAGCACGAGTGCTCAGACTCTCAGCTGTTGCAGTGCCTTCAGGGAGGCTGTGGGAATTGCTCTATCTCATCAAGAAAAGCTGATCCCTTCTATTTATAATTATTCTAAAATTATCAAACCTGCCTTCACTCTGTGATGTGCATATGCTTAGAACTACCCAGCATATGTCTGCCTGTGAGGAGTCATGTCTGTAAGCACCTAGAGACTCTTTCTGTTGCCAAAAAAGTGCTGTTTCTCCCCTTTTTTTTTCTACCAAAACAATTCATTTTCTTCCCTCTGGAGATGGAAGCTGTGCCTGGGCAGACACTCGGGTCTGTTCAGCACCACACAGTATTTTGGGTACAGCCTCAGCCACCCTGCCAGGACCTGCTCCCTGGAGCGGCCATTCCCGCAGGGATACTGCTCATTCCTGTGCCATTTCCAAGCTGATTGATGAAATATCTCTATTTTGATAACAATTACCATTGTCTAGTAGCTTAAAGAGCCGATTAGGGTAGAGAGTACCTTAACTAAAGCAGCAGTCCTTATGTCCTGGGGGTTACATTTAAGGTTTAACCTCCCCATCAGGGAAATTGCACGTTTGTCAACGCCCTGGGGTCTCCAGCCAGACTTTTTTTCTCTTTCTACCTTCTTGAAAACATCCTTTTCACTTATATTTCCACTTTTCAAACATATGAGGGAGTGATTCTCCCTGCATTCCAGCAGCCCTCTGAGGTACACTGAATGTTTTCCCTGCCCCGTAGCAGTCCCATAGGAAGTCTGAGAGAGAGAAGTGAAGCAGCTTCCCTAAAATTATGCACAGAGTAACAGATTTTAGGTGCAAACCTGCAATTCCCCAATCCATGTCCTATGCTCAGACCATCCAACAACTCAACGCTCTCCACCGTGGCCTCTAAAGCTGGAATTGCTACTGCAGGAACAAAAATAGCAGATTTAAAAGGTTTTATCCCATTGTCAGAAAGATGAGACAATATAAGCATTAAGACAACAGAAATACAGGTTTTCATGGGGTTTCAAGGGAAGCGTGAGGGAAAACATTCCACCTGGAACATAACCCAAAAGAAAATATGGATTATTTTTAACAGGAAAAAGCTGCCTCAGCCAGGAAACCTGAACCTGTTTGAGGTGGTAATTTGAGGGCAAAGGTTGGATTTTGTTCCTCTGTGAAATAATCTCTTATCAGTGACCCACTGAATCCCTCTGCTGGTCAATTCATCTGCTGCTGCTGCTGCTCCTCACGCAGCCCTGGGGTGTGGAGCTGAGGGACAGACTTCCAGGAAAGCCAGAAATCCAACCCTCACTTCCCTCAAGTCCATGGATAACTGGAGAACTGGCAAATCCCAGTCACATGAACTTAACCAAGGAGCTGGACTGAGGAGAAAAATTCCAATTAAAGTCAAGGATGGCTGTGTGCTTGATTAGAGCAATCAGGCTTCCACCTCGTTGGGCCTGTACCTGGCCAGTGTGAGCCTCTCCCACACCCCTCCATGTCCATGTCCGTGTCCCAAAGAGCTCAGTGGCATCTGTTGTCAATCATTAAATCATCCACCCCCAGCCCTTGATCCAAATGCCCCCTGAGCCCTCCTGTGCTTAAAAACCAGCAGTGGGGTGGGGAGAAGAGTTACCTGGACAGATTTGGGTATAAACTGAAAAAAACGAGCATGATTTGGGATCTATCCACCTTTTCCCTGGACCACATGGATGGTGCTGTAGGAAAGTGGAAGCTTTGTCAAACTGCAGGTTGTTCCTTCCTGTGCTGTTTTTAGGAAAAGAACTTCCCTTCTCAGTGGTGTCAAAGACTGCAAAATAAAAATCTGTCGTTCAGATCTGCCTAAAACTGGAACTCAGACCCCAAAACAATCCAGTCCTGGGAAAGTCTGGCTGTATCCCTTTGGATTTCCCCCATGTACTGCTCAAAGCACCCGGCTTCAGGAAGGGAAAGGTATTTTAAAGTGCATTTACCACAGCAATAGTACCAGCACTAAAAGCTTTTCCCCTCACCCCTGTCCTTGTCATTCCATGTCTGGGACAGATGAGGCTCTTCCCAGAATTCATCCTCGTTGTACCTCCAAGTCTCGGTGGTTTTGCATCTACTGGTGACACTGGGATAAGAGAAATCCGGTGTCGCGTGTCCTGCTCCGCACTAAACTCTACTCTGGAGCTGGTTTGGATTTATTGGGCACGAGGATCCAGCATGCGGAATGTGTCTGTTGGGATCTGCCTTTGGACAGCCACTCCGAAATCACATCCCAGTCTGCGTGGGGGGAGGAAACAGGGCTGGGGAGAAGGAATTCCCCCTTTCCCCGCTCCTCCGCCGTCTGCTCCAGCCACGCCGCTCAGTACTTGTTGATCCCAAAGATCCGGACTCCGTGGAACTGAGGCAGTTTGGGGATCAGGACGCTCATGAGGGAGATGGTGTTGATGATGAAGTGTATCCGGTCGTACTTGGTGTAAAAGCTGGTTAGAAAATACCTGGAAAAGAAGGGTGGAAACAAAGAGAGAGAGAGAAGCAAACTGAGCTGTGGCATTCCGTGTGCCTGTGTCCCAGGACAGAACACTGGTGGGTACTGGGACACGAGGCAGCTGGGCCAGCTGGGAATACTCACAGGACGATGGGCATGATGGTGAGGAACTTGCGGGAGGCGGTGAACTGGACTCCGTAATCCATCTGCTCCCAGTGCGTGAGCAGCCGGGCCTTGCCCTGGTCCGGGGTCTCGAAGGGGGTTCCCTTCACGGTGTGCAGGAAGATGTACATGCTCTGCAGGACACACAGCGTGAGGCTCGCGGGGGCCCTGCATCCCAAAATCCCACCAGGGGAGCGCGTTCGGGAGCTTGCAGCCCCGCGCCGTTCCACTAGAGGGACGTGGCGCTGCTGGAAAACCGGGAGCGGCCACGGAAGCAGGGGAAGGAGAGTCGGGAAAGGCCGTGGCAACTCGGCTGCTCCACGTGAGGCCTCTCGCTCGGCTCCTGGGTGTGAGCCAAGGAGGTGGTGACAAGATTACAGCCCTGGGATCTCTGGGATCGGGAGATTAGCACCCGCCCGCCGCGGCGCGGCAGAAACCTCCGGAAAACGTGCTGGGAGAGGGTCTGTCACCCCCCCGATTACCAGGGGAACACAAGCCACAGACAAACCGTGTCTGGCTACATCACAGCTCCTCAGGATAGACACTTCTGGCACTTAAACTCCTTTTTTTGTTCCCAGGACCTAAAGCTGCCAGAGGAGGGGGATGAGGAGCCGGCTGCTCATGAGCCGAGTGCTGAGCAGCTCCAGTTTGGGGGTTTGTGGAGGTCTTATCACCAGAGCAGCTCCAGTTTGGCGGTCTGGGGTTGGTTTTATCCCCCACTAGGAATAACTTTAGCATGACGGTTCCCAGTCCATGTCATTTTTGTCTCTGGAATATTCTTAGGCAGAGATGTTATTTAAAATTAAGGATACAGAATCAATTGCTGCATCTGTGAAGAGTTTTGTCCCCTGTGCGAACCTGTCTGGGGACCTGATCCTTAGAGAAGGGAATCAGTTCCTGGACTAACCTTTTACTTTAAGCAGAAAAACATCCGGGATTTAATCTTGTTTCCTTAACTCTGACGAGGCCAATTCAGGTTTTACTGCCCCAAGTGACACCTTGGCAGCGTCTGGGGCCTGTCCCAGACTCCTCTGGGGACACAGAGAAGGACTTGCCCTGGAGGCAAATGAATCCCCTCAGAGCAGCCTCACCAGGTGTTGCTGCCTCACCTGTACCTGGGCTGGATTTAAATCCATGACCCAGAGGCACCAGCGCAGGCCGAGGGTTGCAGGTTGAGCAACTCCCCCGGCACCTCTGGAAACACAAAGGACCCGTTCCAAGAGGGATCTCAGCGGGTTGCTCAGAGGCTCCCCCAGAGGCTCCCCGCGCCCTGGGCCGCGCCGCCCCCCTTACCAGGTTGTGGATGATGTTGGTGAGGGTCCAGACCACGGGGACGCTGAAGAAGGGGATGCTGAGCAGCACGACGTGCAGCAGCCCGATGCCCAGCACGTAGGACAGCCAGATGCCGCGGCTGTTCATGACGCGGGTGTTGGGGTTCACCTCGCTGTGCGCCGTCCCCACGTTCATCCTGCCCTCGTGTCCCACGGGAGCCCCTGCAACACACACCCAGGTCAGAGCTCGGGCCCAAAGCGCTCAGCAGTGGCTGGTTGTCAGGCAAACCCCCAATCTGCCGCGTGCTATAAAAATCCCAAGGCAGCTCACTCCTCTGCCCCTCGCTACTGCCGTTCCCAGAGCTGACGTCGCCGAATCCGGGAGTGGTTCAGATTTGGGAATAATGTGTGGGAAGCCTGTCTGTGGCAGAAGCTACTTGTGATTTGAGATGTTTTCCTGGAGCCAAGGTGTTGAGGTTCAATCCCACATTTGCCTGACAAGACTCAAACCGATACTTTTAAGCACTTTTAAATCCTCGTCGCGGTGTTAATCATGGAAACACGTGGCACGGGAAGCTTCCTGCATGTTTATGGAGCCAGCAGGCCTTAAATTTGGGGAGAGAACGCAGTATCTGCTGAGGAAAGGCTCTGTATCAACAGATCTCCTAATTAATTTAACTAAATTAACAGGATTCTGCACAGCTCCGGAGGTTTGCTGGTCTCCTGCTCTGGCTCACTTGTTTTGCCTTTGGATTTAAGACTTACAGAGAGGGAAGAAAGAGGAACAAAACAATTTGCCCCCAGGGAAGGAATGAGGTTCTTCTTGAGGAATGTAAAAAGGGAGAGATAACAGGGCAAAGTGCCTCGGGAGGATATTTCAGGAGGAAGAGCTGTGGAGGAGGTGGCTCTTCCCCTACCTGGAAAGAACAGCTGCCATGTAGGAGGAGCACAGAGATGGTTTTCTGGACAATGCCAGGAAGGAGAGGAAGCAAGAGAGTGTCACCTTCTTGGAACAAATCCTGAGTGGTGTCCCACAGACAGTGAAGGTATTGAGTGGGCTGACAGTGCCAGTGGCAGCAGGTATCCATCAGCTCCCAGGCCAGCTGGGAGCAGGACAGCTCTGGTTTCCAGGGATTACAGGGAACAGCACAAACTAAACCCACTGTAAAGCTGAAAGTCTTCACACCGAGATCAGGGAAATTCTCGCATAAAATCATCTCTGTGTCCCATGGAAGTGGAGTTTGATGGGATGATGAGGTTTGTCCCCCTTGGATCCGGGACCCCACGGCGAGGGCCGTTTCCTGCCGTCTGGCCTCGTGGCTCTGCTGTTGGTTCCCACAGCTGGAAGCCGTGTTGCTGTTCCCTCCAGCTCTCCAGGGGCGAGCCCGAGCCAGCTCCAACATCACACTCTCCTCACTGCCAGCTGTTCCCAGCTCCCTCCTGGAGCACCAGGCCTGGCTTGTCTCAGGAGCTGGCACAGGCCCCGCTCCTGCCCAGGGCTGGGGCTCAGAGCCAGCCTCCCCTCCACAGCTCCTGGGATGCTCCATGTAATTTCCAAACCTCCTCCAACTGCACAGGCAGCCGTTGCTGCAGATCCTCACCTCCCTCTGTCAGGGGGCTCATACCTGGGGAAGGATTTTGTTTCTAGGGAAGAGGCTGCAGCTCTGCAGGGTGCTCGTTTCCTTGTTGCCCGTATCCTGGATCACTGGCCTGAGGATATTCCTGACAACAGCCCAAAGTGTGGTCTGGAAGCAAGACTGGGAGCCAGAGCTCAGCACTTCACCCCTGGCAGGGGGAACAGCTCCAGCCTGAACCTGCTGCGATTCCCAAGGGCTCTCAGAAGGAAGACTGGGGGTTGTGGTGAAGCACAAATGAGTCAAAAAGAGTCAGATTGTTACAACAACAACGAAAAGCAAAACACCCTGTGGAACATGTAAACAGGAGTGCTGAGTGCCAGACACGGGAAACAGTTCTCCTGGATGTTGGGAGAACACTGTCCAGTCCTGGGAGGAGCTGGAGAGCATCCAGGGAGAGCACAGAGAATGAGCAGAGGTGTAGGAAAAACATGACCTGCAAGGACAGCTGGAAGGAAACGGGTTTGTTTAGTCTGGAGGAGGCTGGAGAGAGGCGTGAGGAACAGTCCGACTCTCCACAAAGAGCTGTGCCTGTGGGATTCCAGCTGTGCCTGTGGGATTCCAGCTGTGCAGCAGGAGGAACCACTCTGGGGCTCAGAGTGACATGGAGGTGCGGGAGGAGGGATGCTGGAAGAGACTGCCCATGCAAAGGGATCTGTGCTCTCAATGGAGGCCTTAAAATCTAGTTTCATCAATGGTTAAAGCCCTCAGATTCCTCTCTGGTTGCCCAGGAGGCCTCTCCAGGAGCCTCTCCTGAAGTGATGCCTTTATCCAAGGCCACAGAAGCTCCTGCAGCCAGAGGTGCACGTGGCCTGTGCCGTGGAATTTCCAACCAATAGTCTAACTTCCAAAAACTAAGGACCAAACTGGACTTGGTCCCTTCTGCAAACGAGGGCGGCTGCAGACCCACAGTGGGGTGGGAAGGGCCCAACTTGGAAGCTGTATGTGAAGCAATTCCACTCCTCCTGCCTCAGTTTCCCTTCCTTGTAAAATTAAGGAACAGAGGGGTCGAAAGCTGGAACACAGGAGAGGTTAACTCATTCTTGCAGGAGATAAGGAGATGCCAAACATTCAGTGCTCCATGAGGGTAATTCTGTGTCTCCAAACTCTGTCCTTCCCCACCTTAAACATTTCACCTGCAGATCTTTCCAGCTCTGCCCTGGGCTGTGCAGCCCTTGCCCCAGTTCTGCCAAATTTCGGATTGCACAAGCCTGGCTGAGGGCTGAGGGCATTGTCCAGAGCTCCCTACCCCCACCCTCATCCCATGTTTGCTTTCTGTTTCCACAGCAGGATTTGTTCACCTGCAGGAAAACAAGGCACAGCCCCCCATGGGAGGGACTCCAGCCCCTCCTTCCTGGAGCAGCTGTTGCCAGGCTCTGCTCTCCCACTCTTTTTTGGGACAGAAAAGCCTGACTGTTGCACCAGACGGAGGGTGAAGGTCGAGGCTGTGCTGACATTGGACACTGGCCATCCAAGGAGGGGAAAAGTCAGAGCTGTGGCCAGTGGCAAAGGGCACAACGTGATGCCAGAGCCGAGCCCTCCCTCTGCTCCATCTTTCCCGTGTCCTGCTCCCTGTCCAGGTGCAGCTTCTTCCCCACCTTTGCCCCCAGAGGAGTGTGATCACCGTGTGTTCCCATCCCCTTGCTTAACACTTGGACTTGATGACCTTAAAGGCCCTCTCCACTCTAAATAAGCGATCCTATAACTTGGCAGGGCTGTCACTCTTCCCCAGGGATTGCAGGATCGTGCTCCGATCCCAGCACTCCACTGCAGGACCTTCACCCGGGCTGGAGAGGTAAAGAGGGCTCAGGTCTTGATCTCCCCAGTGTTCCCAGGCTGCTGGTGGTGATGATCCCACGGATCAGATCCTGATCTCTGGCAGCAACAGCAATCCCCATCTCCCAAACAAATCCTTTAAACCCTTCTTTGCTGATGGCATCGAAGTTTGAGCGGAGGGCATTGGTGAACTTGGGCTGTGCTGGGAGGCGGCTGCTGGGTGGGACTGGGAACAAAACGCCCCGGAGCCGCTGCCCGGTCCCTCCTGGGGGTCTCGGGGCTGGCAGAGCCCGGGGGGGGACACGGGGACGAGGACAGGGATGAGCCGCCCCGACCGGGGGCGGGGGCTCTGCCCCTCTCAGCCTGTTCTCCTGGATTTAACGGGAAATCTTAGACCCGCAGGGAAGGCCGAGGCTGGGCTCCTCCGGGTCCGGACTCCTCTTGCCTCCCGATTCCCCGGGCCG